GAGCTCGGGAAAAACTGTAGTATATTATGAAAAAATCTGGTTTAGTGCAAGTAAAAAATTCTATATCTCAATTGTTCTAGCTTTATCATTGATAAGGAATACTGAAACTCTTACAATTCTATCACGCTAAGGCTTCCAAAATCTCCACCAAGCCGACATTGGAAGACCAGATGGAAAAGTATCTACTGCTACTGACAATCTTTTCATTCTCATTATCAGAATATATTGGGCCGTATTGAATCAAAAGACTAAACAAGACCTGTATATTCTACGACGTTAAATCTGATGGAAGACATAATAAAATTCCTGAATACATTTTATAGAGCTAACCACTTACGATCTAGAAGGCATCGAGAAACTGTCTCTCCCGTTTTGCTGTTCTGTGGATTGTCAGCAAAATGTGAAGTCGAGGATATTGACAGCTGAGATTTGAATATTTTAATTTTCATTATACATTTGTTGTATTTGCTTTCAATTTTTTTAAATCATACCATTAGAGAAAAGATTCATCTAGCCAAATATTGCGTATTGTTCAGGAAATCAAGATATCTGCATCATGTTTTTAAATTTTTAATTTCAATTTTACGTTTTTTCCAAATATTACTTATACTTTCTTAACTTATGGGTACGCATTTCTTTTCATTTTAAATGTATTAACTAAAAGGGAAAACTATTCGCTATACCAAGTTTTATCCTACTCGTAATTCGATAGCCCGTCTTTCTGTTAGGCAAAACAATGTAATTCTTCGTTCCCATGACTTCAAAAACCTATGTCATTGAATGTCAAAATCACTCCCGTCCTCACTGCTTCGAAACCGCGAACTTTCCGCCATCCAAGGGATTGCATTGAAGTTTGCCGCCAGCAAAAGTATTTGCAACCAAAGATTTGCTTAGGTTTTCCGTAGTTTCATGCTCAAGTTTATGAGAATCTGACCAAACATTTCTCATAGAAATTTCGCGCTTCCATTGTCACTCCTAGAACCTACGCCTTTTACTAGGATTGCAAAATTTGGGACTTCTTCATTGAAATGCGCCCGCTGAGATTAATGGAATTAAATAGTCTTTTTTGAAATGGCAATGCGATTCAAAATGTAGTATTTCTCATTTAAATGAGTTCAATTACAAAAAATATTGGATTTAGGGCGGGCATTACACTCCCACCCACATCCTCTTGCTTATGTATTGGGCAATGTACACTCTTGGAAACATAAAATTTTCGCGTCGAAAATGCCTTGGGCCCGACGAGGTTGAGGCGCTGACATCCCTCTGCGGCAGCCGCTATCTAACGTTTATTTTTCGAAACTACGTTCTGTAGATTCGATCGTATAATTAAAATTTTATTTTATTGCGAGAGCGTATTAAAATACTTTAAGGCACCGTTGAGAGCTAGAATAGTAACAGTACAGAGGAAAAAGACTTCGTTGATCCTGCCTGGTAAAACAGAACTGACATTAACTTTGGTAAACGTGATTTGCCTAAAGTTTCCATTACTATAAAATGTGTTGTTTATAAGAGCATATTATTTGAGGAAGGGCGAAAGAATGGCTCAGTGTTCCGAATGCAGTGTGTTTCTAGAACTCGTGAAGTAGCGGTGTTCGCTTCCCAGTCTACGTAGATATTTTATTTCATTCTACAGTTTGCCATATATAATCCACAAAATTACAACATGCTAAATACCTTGTCGCTCAATGTTATGCATAATTTAAGCAAAATTCTCGATTTGCGAATAAGCGCAATGTAAACAAAGCAATCTCAAAGAACCGGGTGGTAATATTGCGTAAGCAGAACCAAAATAAAATAAGCTTCCATAATCTTATAGATAATAATTCCTTAAATTGCGAGATAAAAATAACCATTTAAAATATACGGTATTAGTTTTTCATTTTTGACTCGAATTAAAACCATGAAATGAACTCATTAAAAGCTCGCGAAAGACAATTCGTTTAACAATATCAGAAAGTTATAGCTGATATACGGACAAGAAAATGTGGGACTGTGTTTTGTATCTGTAAAGAATTCATTAAATCCTATTTGGAACATCTCTTGTTTGCTTTGATATAAACTTTATTTTCTACTATTAACTACTATATATAAATTTTTAAAATTCTGGCATAGACTCCCTTTATTTGCTATGAATATAATGTGAATAAAGATGATGGAACTGTTGATGTTCTGTAATTACAATAATTCTTTAGTTGCAGAAGGATTGATACTCCAATATCGTACACTGAAGTAAATTTAAAATGGTTTTGATGATAAATGCTGGGCTCATTGATTTCTCGATGATGCCCCGATCTTTCCGAGATCCCTTGCTTCAATGTGGGAGGCCTTAGTTATGTGGTTATGAGATTTCATAGCTTTGAAGTTAAAAAAAAAAAATCAAAAACAATTTCCGAAAACGAATTTTGATTGAAGGGAAATATTCCTAGCGAGTTTGTTCATGCTATTTGAAGTTCATAGTTACAATATCATACAAACATCTACTTTTCAGATGCAAGCTAGAAATCCATTATGTTATTGAAACGTTTTTATGCACAAAAAATATAAACAGATTGGTAAATAACAAATAAGTGCAGAAAATAGCAATTTTTTTCATTTCAAAAACAAATTTCGTACCAAAAATTAGCGCAAAATTATGACTGCTTCTAGTTGAACATCAGAACTGCCAATTAGCTCATATTAGCGATGTCATTTTGCTTGCTACAATATTCTCGTTCATAAGACAGTGAATAAAAACTCATTTCTTTTTTGAGAGAGATTATCCGATTTTTCTTCTCGTAAATCTCACGACTTACCGGACTTGAATCTGACCTTCGCAGCTCTTCCGTGTTTCAAACAGCAGTCAAAAGGAGACTAAAGGCTCTGCAGCGTTGCCACTTGGTAAGAAAGAAAAAATAGCGGACTAAGCAAATGAACTACAAATTTAATCCGCATTTCATTTTTCGACATTGCTTCACCATATCCAAGCCACACGGAAAGCGAGTTAATCGCAATTAGTTAGAGAGGTCACCTTCTCTGTTTCAGAGGCGGCGTGCCGTGTTCAGTATGGCGTGGGGCAAAGACAAGCGCAATACTGGCTTAAACGTTTTCGAGAACGGAGAGAATCCCGAGAGGAAACTAGAAACGAGAGGCGGCTTTGGCGCTATTTCAGATGCTTGACCCAAGATGACGTTTGATACATAGCAGCGGTGGAAAACCCTTTCCAAACTTCTCACAACTGCAAAGAACCACCAGATTTCCTGGATGCTACACAATCAATACGCAACAGACTTTTGGAGGTTGGTCTGCGATTCAGAAATGCAGCTCCGAAAACCGAAGCTACCAGAAAGAACACCAGCTCTAGCGGCTGGCATTTTGCCCAGCAGGAAAATTTACATCGAGACTGGGCTGATGTCATTTTCTCTGATGAGAGTATATCTCCTCCGCAAATGATGGACCCGTTCGCGTTTTCAGGGCCCAAGGAAAGCCGCTATGATTCTCGGTACGAAAAAGCAAGTCCCCAGGTCAGGTCTTTATCAGTAGCAGTATGGGGCTCGATTTCATCTCGTGGGCATTGGATGATCCATAGAATCCAAGATCACTTAAATGCTCTCAGTAACATCCACAAACTGCAGAGATATCATGATTTTCCATCAGTAAGGCAAATTGGCATTCCTGTGGGGATAATTCCATTCCAACAGAACCAACCACCGATTCATAAGTCCGTTTCAATCCGTTGTTGTTGCGGCAGAAAAAACAAGGCATATTCAGGCTTGTTGGACTGGCCACCATGTGCCACCAGATCTAAACCCTATTCGAAAGATGTTTGGGCAGAAGACCAAGATGCACCATGGCCGAAATACTGTGCGTGATCCGCGAACCTAAAACAACGCCGATGCGCTCTGGCAAATCAATCCCATTGAAGCCCTGGGAGGAGGTCGCTCACAGTGAAAACTCTGCGGCGGAACTTTTGGAGGCCTTTCCCCACGTTAAGATTTTAGATATGGTTCGTAGGAATGTGGGGCGTTTTGATTCCTTATAATGTTTTCCTTTATATTTCTAGAATAAATATTTATAAAAACAATTAATGATAAAAATGGAATAAAATTTTAACCAAAATATGTAATTTGGAGAATTAAAAAGCAAATATTCATAGAAAGATAAAGAGCCCTTTTCAGAGTTATTTTGTTTTAAAATCAAAATAATACTTTATTGACCAATAAGAGAGTACTGCTACAGACAGTTCATTGACAAAAAAATCACGGATTCAAGAATAAAAAAAATTAACGGACCACGCACTGTATTCGAACCTGCTGCATTTGAGGCACGAAAGACATTCTACCAAGAGCAAACAAGCACTTTCGCCAAAATTAATTAGTTACATAAATATTATTGGGCCAAAGTTCGGAACGTTTAAATGTCTCAACATATTCGATAATTACCAAATCAATGTTGAAAAATGCAATGTCTTCTATCGCAACGGAATTAAAACCCGATTTTCTGAAATACATATATATTGCTTGCATACAGGGGAGTCCTACCAACTACGGGCAACCCTCATAACTTCTAACGGTTCCCGATATCGGCTTAACATTTGATCACCCTTCAACTATGCGGGGAATCTTGCGCAAGATAATATGATGTAGAGATATGGTTTGAAATACTTTTTAGTTTGCAAATTTAATCATCTCTGCATTTTTAAATAAACCATGTATTTTTCTCACTAGCAATAGATAGATCTTAAAAGAGGAATGCAAGGCTGTTTAACTTTGCTAATATTTTATTGTGTTTTGTGCATTAAAAATTATCTAGTATATGGACTGAGATTTTAAATTAAAAAACGTGCCAATTTGTTCTGTAGCTGCCGTCGCCAACTGTCGCTATTTGGCGAACTTGACCCCTTCGCCCGGGGGGAACGGGTGGGGGGCTGCAAAGCGGGTGAGGGGGGCCACCGGGTGAAGGGCACGAAACGAGAGGGGGTGGGCCGGAGGGTTGGGGGGGGCTGCGGTGGGGTGTTGGTTATGGTAGGAGATGTAATGCCTTGTGGCCCGCCGAAAAAAGGCCGAAGCGCGGAGGGGAGGTGAGCAGAAAGAAGAGGGGGAGGAGGACGCGCGGCAGTGGTGATGCGTTCGTGGGTGTGTGGTGGTAGGGTGGCCTTCTCCGGCCTCTCCCCAACGGGTGAAAGAGTGCGCGCGCGACGCGACGGAAGGGCAGACGCTGTCACCCACAAGGAGACCAATTGAAAAAGGGTTGTTAATGACTGGGCTCTACAGAGTCTATGAAAATATATCTTATTATTATTTAATTTAAAATCATCATGGCGGAAAGTCATACTATATTTCTTCTTCTCCCTCGAAATACTATCAAGAGCGCCCATCTAACATCTTGCCTTACCAAGTGCATGCAATCGTCTAATTTATGAATCTTTTAATGCCTAGTGAGATAAATACATCTATGGTTCCATTTTAAAAATCTTAAAGAATGATAAATTTCCTCGGAAAAACAACAATATTTTGAACAATATCTTAAGAGGCAACATCACTATGCCTTCATGCATTTCACATTGTTTGACGAAAACTACATCTCGATATCGTGAAAACCGTTTAGAAGTTATGGGGATGGTCCGTAGTTCGGTGAGACTCCCTTTTGAGAAACACACAACTGAGTATGAACAGATAACAACAAATAAAAAGAAAAATAGTAGTTTTGCATTACCCCCGGCCAAAACATAAGGTTGTTTTAAGAGTTTTAAATTAGAATCCATCTTTTGCAACCCCACAAACAATTGAAAATACCGGGTTTATTATTTACTAGCTATGTGAACATAATTGGAAATAGAAAATTCGAGTATTGCAATCAGATTCTCTTGATGCAAATGATTAGCCCTTCCTGAATAGAGAGCTAATCTTTTTTTGATCTAATCCTAATTTTTTATATATTCGTGAGTTATCCGTGCTTATACTAGAAGCGCATTATTCATTTTGTCAAGTTTTGTAGATGCTCTTACCGAGGATAAAATCTTATTATATGATTGTAAAAATTAGCATAATAAAATAGATGCAATACATAAAGAGACTTCATTTTCTTTCATATAAGAAGAAATACATTAATAACCTATGCATTCATGCGCACAGCGGAAGCACAAGACAGGAGTTTGAGAGCGGATCGACTTTCTGAACACTTTTGCCTGAAAAATCTGATTCAACTGAGAGTTTAATGTATCCAAGTGACAGTACATGCTTCAGGTCTTATTATTAAGGCGACGATTATTTATGTAATAACTGGTCAATAGCGACGATAAGATGCCCTTTTTTACAAATTGCGTTGTGTTCTTAGTGATGCGATGTTTGATTGCATTCTTTTTGATGTTATAGTTGCGTAATATGGAGTGTCCAACTCTGTCTGAAGGAACAGTCTTAATACTTTGTCGCGTTGACACATATCATTAAAACACATGGCACATTGTTTAACTCATAAACGCAAAATCCCAAGGGAAGTGGATTATGATTTTCCCAGGCATATTTTACGTGTCTGCGTAGTACTATATTTCACCAACTGATTTCCTCTCTTAAATGCAATGATGGTTAATATATTAATTCATATAATTATATTATATTTATTATTATTATTATTATTATTATTCTTTATGGTTATTGTAGTATCCGTGCTTGCATTGATTCTAAGAAGTTGGCGTTAAAATATGGCATTATTACAGAGAATCTCCAAAGCATTAGCAGAGCGATACTGGCGCGAATAAGTCTTCCATGTTGCCTTAGACTAGATAAAATAAAAGTAAATTTGATGTTATTCCCGCTCCACTCAAAAATACCTGCCTCACGATATTGGGTGCGGGAAAAAACATATTCAAGGAAATTGTTTTCATTATCACGGAACTTAATAAAGTGAATGACGAACGGAGTGCAGGCAAACTAATATTAACGAAAGCGGGTTTAGGTCGTCCGCACAATGCATCAAAAATGAACCAAACAGTTTCTACTGAAGATAAATCCACAAGTTCTAAATAATATGCGGAAAAGTGCGGCGGGAGATTTCGAGGAGGTGCGCTCATAGCTTATCAAAAAACGTGGCAACAGTTGTCTTACCACCACAATGGTGAAAAATATAAAGAAATACTGCTAATCTCAATAGGGGTCACGTTGCAAATTACAGCGTCGCCTAATTAATAATTATTGTTATAACAACATCCACTCGCGTCTTTGTCCTGAGTTACAAGGGCTTCTCAGGGCTTCTAAAATGATTACATGGAAAGATTCCGTAACATGCATACTACTAATCTGTAGTTATATCAGAGAACGATCGATCTTATCCCTAATCTTTGAATTTTCGTTTTGTGCACCTAGTCTTTACGAATCTATTTCCATATTTCAGAACTATTGTATGCTATTCTGTAGACAATCAAACTTGGTCCTAAGCCCTTACTTAACCGCTGATGATCTGAAATTGTATTTAGTGTGATAGAACTCGCTCTAGCCAGTTACAAGAGCCCCTCTGCCTCGAATCTTCATATTGATACATAAAAAAAATTTCAAAACATGAATATATTAGAAAATGCGCTGAAAAATAGAAATGAATGTAGACGACTGATGGATGTAAAATATAAACTTAATGAGAAAAACTATTCAAAGAGTTTTTAATACGCACAAAAAAAACGTATACTTTATCAACCCAACACAAATATAAAATATACCTTAAAGTATATTTGTCAAAAATAAGTATTTTTAAAATTAGAATAGAGACATCAACTTCTATTCGTAATGATTTCTAAGACATTTTCCTTATTATTCTTATTCTACTTGTCCCTTTGACTTTTACACTCTTACCTTCAAAGGGAATTAATCTCAAAAACATTATAGATAATAAAGAAATGTTTTAATTAACTAACAGTATGATTATATCTGACATTTTTATATGTTTTTCTGCAAAATACAGTGACTGCGATAATAGGAGAATTGTCCCATTTTCAATACGAGACCCTTCTTGATATTACAGTGTTATCGGACCAACATTTAATGCTTTAGAGATTTTGATTTCACACGTGAGTTGTGGGGACTTTTGGACTTAGCTTTTACAAATAATAATATTCTATTGTGAATGTTTTGGTTTATTTGCATCCTTGCATCATGCTGGCTGAAAACTTTAGCAAATCTCCAAAAACGTTACGGCGGTCCAAACACCGCTGCGTTAACTAAATCGTTATTAAAATTGCAGCCATGCGACATACTGCGACTCGATACGCCCCTATCTAGGAGGCATAAACGCCGTAGCATATTCATTGTATAAGTCTCGCTTCTGCAGCTAGCGATTAATGCCTCCCAATTATATGCGTAATTTCATGCAGCGCGTTCTACTAATTGGAGATGCAAAATTGTCTCTCGTGTAAGTGTTCTTTTCTATCAGCATGTCTTATAGCCTACGATATTCCTTGTCATCCCTTCGATCTGCGCGCAGAGCGAGAGAGACTTCTACGCGACTTCTATTTGTGCGCATCCCAGTAAAACGTGTCACGACAAATGCTAGAAGGGGTCCCCTCACTAAAACAGGTTATAGATCGCATATACGTGAGTAAAGAATGAGAGCGGGTGACAATAGTGTCCAAACATGCAACCGCCATAATGAGAAGCCAAATCTTTACAATGCTTTGAGCGGATCGGACAGTGTTGCCGCATCAAATCCCGCCCACACAAATCTTCTCAATTCGGACGTGGATTCAAAGGGAACATGGAGCAATTAGAAGTGCTAGAACCAACACTTTGATACTGAGCCATTTTTCCCCCTTGCTGCGGTGCTCTTATACAACACATTTTATATTTAACTAAAACTTGAAAGAAAACATTACGTTCTACAAAAATTTATGTCAGTTGAGTTTTAACATGCCAGGAACACGAAAGTCTTTTTCCTTAGTGCTAACAAACTATTTTGCTGCATGGATTTTAAAAATATTTTAAACTCTCTCCAATAAAGAAATTAAATCTTCATAACACGATCTACAGAACGTAGTTTCGGAAATAAACGGTAGATAGAGCTGTCGGCAAGCAGGGATGTCCAGATCCATCAACCTATCGCGCCAAGGCATTTTCGACGCGAAACTTTATGTTTCCAAGAGTGTACAAATGCAGCCTGACCGCCTGAAAATAGTGATAAACGGTGGCGAGAGATACGGTAGCGTTTCCGGCACTCATTTGACGCAATTGGCGGACCCCGAAAACAGGCCAAGTTTCGGTATCGGTCGTCCTCGATAATGGCAATGACGGAATGTGCATTATCGGAACAAGTGGTATCGGTGCGACTGGTCTTGCCGCCGAGAACGAACAGAACTGAGGACGTTTTTGGTCTGACCTTACCCTAAATTTCTGGCAATTTTCCCCCAAACAATTATTTTCTTGAAACAGCTACAATTTTTTTATTTTCCCCGTCGGATAGAGCATTAGCCACTTAAAAAATTGTACTAGATCCATTTCCGGCGAACACTCGGTATTTTGGAACAATTATTAAATCAAAATTAACATTGCAAAAGTACAATATTGATGATAAAGGGAAGATTACTTAATAACATCAGTTCTAAAAAATTAGATCTTTAAATAAGATCATTTACAATTTTGGGTAAAAATGAGAAATGTTTGCGTAAGTTTTTCTTCAAGAAAAGGCAATATATAAAAAATCACAAAAAACGCTTCAAATTGTTTCTGTAATTTTTTCTTTGCAGTATGCAAAGAACGCTTTAAAATGCGTAGGTCCCATTTTCGGCAAACTATATTTTCGAAAATTTCAAACAAAATATTAACATGCAAAACTATAATATTTTTATAGAGTTTTCCGTTAATGAAATCTCTCAGGAAATAATGTAAATGAAAAATCCAGAATTTTTGGAAAAAAATGGATATGTTCAACTTTTTGAAACCGTCGGGAAGGTTTGGTAACATTTTGGGCTGGTGGTGTCGGGGTAACTTATTACTCATGTGTTAACTCTAAGGATCTGTGTTCGATTTCCAGCGAAGAGACAAAAAGTTGGTTGGAAACACATTTTTTCAGGTTCATGGAGTTTTGTAATATCGCCTGAAC